AAAAGGAAAGAGACATCAACTTTACAATAGTAGTTGCCTCTGGAGAGGGAAGGAGACTGGGGAAGGGAACACAGAGGACACTAATTATCTGTAAGGCTTTCTTTTATTCAAAGAAAATATGAAGCAGTTATGACAAAATCTTAAATGCTCTGGGAGATGGGGACATGAATAGGTTATTTTACTCTATAAAAAATAATGGGAAAAAAGAAAAAAAAATTAATTTACAAACGAAAGCTGGAAGTGGGGTGGATGAACCTATTTAGGTAGAGGAGTCAGGGAAGGCCTCACCAGTAAGGTGCAATACAAGCTGAGATCTAATGACACAGAGAAACATGCAATGCTGCACCAAGACTGGGGAGGAACATTCTGGGCAGAGGGGCCCAGATGCACAAGGGCCCTATGGAGGGACAGAATTGAATGTGTGTGTGGAACTGAAAGAAAGTGGTGGTCAGTGGGGGTGAGCAAAAGTGGGGGAGTGGAGGGCAGCAGGTGGGTAGCACAAAAGACAACTGGAAAAGTGAGGCAAACCACACAGGACCTTGGAGGCCAAGGTGAACCAAGATGGAAAGCCGCTGGAAACGACATGCTGCAATCACTTTAAAAAAATAGAGATAAGCTGCTATGTGCAGAATGGATTAGAGGGGGCAAGAGTACAAGGGAGTCCCCGAAGGGAGGCTGCTGCGGTGATCCTGGCCAGAGATGATAGCGGTCTGAGCGGAAAATTTTGAATGTGAAGTTGGCAGGATTTACTAATGACTGGATCTCAGGACTGGGGTAAGACAACTACTTTGGAAATATTACCGTTAAAGGACATGAAAAAAAAAAAACCCACTCTGGGCCCCACATCTATTTCGTAAAACTGAATAAACTTATCAAACTCATGAACATCAAACTTGTAAGACTAAATAAATGTAAATATAAACTAATAACATTAAGTTAAACAATGAGGAAGGTCAAGTTAAACAGGTCAGGGAGAATGAGTTTTGAGGAAGACTGGAAAAGACATCACAGAAATTAGTGATGTAGGTGGACAAAGGCCCGAAAAACAGAAGAAATAACAAAGTTAAAACACAGATTAGAAAAGAATTTGACCAACACTATACAATCTGGCCTTATTACAGTAGGCCAGTGAGCATTTCAGTGACAGAAAATGTAGAAGGGGGTAAGAGAGGCTCTGAAGAGAGGGCAGACATGCCAGCATAAGGTGTTTAGTTTTTAGCCAACTTCTGCTGAATACTTACTATGTAGCAAACACTATATCAAGGCATGGACAAACATCATCTCATTTAATCCACCCGACAACTTCACTGGATAGTTACCATTGCTAAAAATGAGGAAGCTGAGGTTCAGGGACGTTAAGCAAGCACTCAGTGGGTCCCTAGCTTGGGGAGAAGCAGCGCTGGGTTGCACTCATCGGGGCCTCACCTGGAAAGCTACTGGGCGGGAGATGGCAGGTAGAGGGGGTAAGAGCAGGAAGTGCAAGGCCCCCAGGCCTAGGCCTGGATTTCAGATCTGCCACTTAGTTTAACTGTTTTACAAGTTACTTCTCTGTGCCTCAAATCCCCCATCCATAAACTGGGGAGAATTACAATCTCTACCTACAGCAATTCTGCTCGCCACCATCACCGTATTCAAAAAGCACCAGCCGAGTCCATGATCACCTCTGCACTCCAAAATGCAGTGGAAAATTTTCACAACTCTTTATTGTCAGGCTCTTTCTGACAGTCATCCACCACCTCCCTAAGAAGCTCTTCACTGGCTTCCATGACACCATGTCTTCCTCCCTTTTCTCCTTCTCTGGTGGCTCTTCTATAGCAAATTCTGTTAAGTCCATCCTCCTCCCCCAAGCCACTCCACACTGGGAATCCTGGAAAACTGGGCCCTACACCCACTTCTCGTTCTGTTCTCTCCCCTTCCAAAGTAATCTCATCCATGTCCATGGCTCAATTTACTTCAACACACCAAATGACTCCCACATTTCCAATCTGCTAAATTAATATGTCCCAAATCAAACTGCTCATCTTTCCCTCTCCCGGCCCCAAACCTGGTCATCTTCCAGCGCTCTTCACCTCAGTAAAAGACAACCCATCCATCTGCCTGCACAAGTCAGCCACGCAAGAGTAGGAGCTGTTCTGGAGTTGTCCTTGATGCTTTCCCCATCCTAGGCCCTACATCTAATCTACCACCAGGTTCTGCCAACTTCTTTTCTTTTACATGTCTGTCATATCTGTATCTTTCCCCGTCCCGTCAGCCAAGCCAAGCAACCACCATCACTTGCTTGGGATACTTTAATAGGAGCCTCCTAATTCATTTCCCTTATCTACTCCAAACACTCCAACTCACTGAGCCAGGGTGATCTTCTCAAAATGCAAATGGGAGCCAATCCCTCCATCCCCGCACAGAACCTGCTAAATGCCTGCCGCCTTGCTCAACATGGCCTGCAAAGTAGGACTCCTGCCACATCTCCAACCTCACCTCCCATCACTCTTCCCTCCCTTGCTACACTCCAGCTACTGCAGTCTTCCCTCAGTTCCTCACCCTGGAATGCTTATCCCTACAATCCTTTTCACGAGTTAGCACCAGCACACACTTTCAGATCTCAGCTCAAGTACCAGAGGCTCAGGAAACCCCTGATTCTTCAGAGGACCTCTGTTACCAGCAATCAGAAATTTGCATTCCTTTTGTTAGTGCTATTTTCCTTTAGAAGAGCATGACTATTCATTTGACTATTTGCTTAATGGCTCTCACCCACCAGAATGAAAACTCCATGAAGACCAGGTCCTTGAACACTTAAACCGACCACTAAATCCCCAGCACATGGGCACCATACCCAACACCGGTAGGGGCTTGGCACCTTCCTCTGGGCTGTTATGAGAAACAACAGTACACTGTTAAGGTGCTTTGTAAGTGGAGCGTCTGGTAGGAATCATTATCATTTGGCACCCTCTGACAAGTGAAAACATAGAGGCTCGCAATGACTGACTTGCTCAAAGCCATATAAAGCAAACAAGCAAGTGGGTGAGTGTGGCACCCTTGGCTTCCAGTCCAGGCTTTCTCCAGCGCATACTCCAGCTTTTCTGTGTGGTTTTTGCTCCCACAGACGATCTTTTCTCTTGTTTCCTAGTAAGGAATCATGAGTTTGGCCTCCTAAGCTCTAGCTCTAGTTTTACTGGAATCATTACCTAAGGCTTTCGTCTCAAGCCCGCAGGTCACAAGCAATGTCATTTGTCTCCATTTCCCTCCATGGTACACACTCAGCAAATATTACTTGAAGAATTTCTGGCTATGAGGCAGGAATCAGTAATTGAATTAAATATATTCACCCACTCTAAGCCAATCTTCCACAAACAAGTTATTTTTCCTGCCCCATAAGGACATCATTAAGAAAGAAATACACGAGGAGGGCGCCTGGGTGGCTCAGTTGGTTAAGCGACTGCCTTCGGCTCAGGTCATGATCCCAGGGTCCTGGGATCGAGTCCCATATCGGGCTCCCTGCTCAGCAGGGAGTCTGCTTCTCCCTCTGACCCTCTTCCCTCTCATGCTCTCTATCTCATTCTCTCCCTCTCAAATAAATAAATAAAATTTTAAAAAAAAAAAAAAGATTTAAAAAAAAGAAATACACGAGGATGCCTGGGTGGCTCAGATGGTTAAGCGTCTTCGGCTCAGGTCAAAATCCCAGGGTTCTGGGATTGAGCCCCACATCAGGCTCCTGGCTCGGCGGGAAGCCTGCTTGTCCCTCTCCCTCTGCCTCTCCCCCTGCTCGTGCTCCCTCTCTCTGTATCTGTCTCAAATGAATAAATAAAATCTTTAAAAAGAAAAAAAGAAATACACAAGTTTTCCCTGTAATACAATTATCAGCTGTCTATCGCACCATGCCAGGCAGTCCAACTTAAATAGAACATACACCCTACCCTGTTGGCCAGTGCACAGAAATATTACATGTGGCCTTAAGAACAATGCACATTATTAATAGCCCATGAGCTTATCCCTTTCCCCAAGTGCCCCCTCCCCAACCCTCCTCCTCCCTGCCTGCAGAAGGCACACCACCCTCCTGCACAGGGCTGAAAATATAGTCTGTGGTTAAGTCAGCAGGGGCAAAAAGCCCCTGAAACAAATATAGCCAAATGCTTGACACTCCAAATTATGACCGAAACCGAGTATCTCTGTTTCATTCCCATCCCACTCGACTCCTAGCCCTAAGGGAAGAAATCTCATCCTTAGCCTCAAAATTCAGCCACAATCTTTTGTCCAATGTGAAACAGTAAAGCCAATAAAAAGAGGTAGTAGAAAACTAACCCCAAATGTGTAAAGAAGAATTAGTAATTCCAAACACCACACCAGTTCTGGAAATCATTCATGCTTTGCTCTTCTTTTCAAAATGCAAGTAGAGACTTCAGTTGCTTTATATTTCATTTTGCTTTTTAAGAGTGAGGGAATTTTCAAAGAAAAATTTTAAATTTTTCTGAGACTCTAATACATTCAAGTTTAAAAGGGACATAAGCCAATTCAATCAAAAAATTAGTAACAAAAATGAAGCAAGGACAGGCATACAACCCGACACTGGCACTAAATTTCAAAGTACGTACAAGATCTCTGAAACGATGACCACAGGGCTCAGGAATCCCTGGCTTAAAATCAAACAGCTTCTCAACACAAACACATACATAAAGCCATTCTTCTCCCGCCTTCCAAAACTCCCACAACTTACCAAACTCAGCTCACTGTAATTTAACACAGTATTTACAATATGGCAAATTGACACAGGCTCACACTGACTTCTGAAAGGATGAAAGACCAACAGAAGGCACTAATTCTATTAGTCTTCCCTCAGTTAACCAAGCCGGAGCCATAAAAAAAACCCCAACCAGCTTGCTTTGTTTTTAAATTTCAGATGGACGTGTCTCTAAAGGGTCTGACTGTACTGCTGTGAAAAGTACGCTCAAGCCACCAGACGGTGTGGGCTGCTGAAAGCAGGTTCTTCCAATTAGCAATAAATGTACCCAGCATGGCTCAGGCAAGAAGACAGTGCGGTGACATCTTGTATACCATCAGGTTCAAACACTGGGGCAGCTGAACCATCTGGGGGATGGGAAACCTGCAAGGCTGCCAAGCGCGACCTTGTCACCCATAAATCTATTACCTGGGCAGATGAGGCAAGGGCAAACTGGAGAAAAGATCAATATTTCGGTTAGCAGTGATCCTTTCTCTTCAATCCATCTATATCTGCAATTTGTGAAAAGAGGGGGGAAAAGGATGTGGGAGAAAAAAAATAAAGCTATATGGTATTTTCCCCTTTCCTTAAAAGTAGTATTATCCAGGAAATTACCTATGCAGACTGACTGTAGAAGCAGACAATTAAGCCTTACGCCAATTTCTACGCCACTGGTGAACAGTGGTTAATAACTTCACACTTTTCTTTTTGTCTCTTAACAAGGAGGGAATGGCACTTTCAAAATCATTACTGCTCTGTCATCTTGGTTCTGTGCCAAAGAAAGGAGCTTTAGAACACCTGTCAAATAACACACAACTTGTGAAAAAGAAACATATACCAAAAGAGGTTTATATAAAATGTTCACAAATGTAGAAACAGGACTGCATTTGGGTTAAAAGAAAGTCACTGTTTCTGGTGAGGGTTGGAGAAGAAAGGAGGAGATGTCCAGGACTCACTTATGTGAGTCGAGTTAGAGTTATGAAACTCTCTCTGTCTCAAGCTGACACAATGTCAATCTCGTAGCATTTATCTCTTCATCCTTAGCCACATCCCCGGTGGTTTCAGTAATTAAACAGGTAAAATTTAATAGGTGAAAATACCATCCCTGCCTTCTCAAATAAGAGTGCCTAGTAAAAAAAGTACCTAGTAACCTTTTTCCTGTTTTCAGTATCCAAGCCATTCTTGTAAACTCAAAATAGGCTTAAATATCAAGATCTTATTCTAAAAATGCATATCTTCCACATCCACCCATCCATCATCGCAGAAGCTACTAGGCCAGTGTGATCCCAGAGTTACAGCAAACCAACATCCACTCTGTGGGGCAGAGGGTTAGGTGCTAGGTGAAACATCAAAACATACAGAGAGCGATCCCTCACAAACTGAAGGGAAATGTAGACTGCAGAATACAGAAATCATGTGAAGTTGTACGCTTTTGTTTTGTTTGTTAACAAAAAGAAAACTTTTAAGTATTCATACTAATGTATGCAGACCCATTCTGAAATCTAGTAGTAAAACACCCAACGTTTGAGTTATAAAAAGGCGCTAATTCACATTCAGACTAAGGAAATTCAAACCTTCCTTAAGAACAAAACAAACAAAAAAACAAAACAAACAAGCAAAACCAAAACAAACCCTGGCACTTTTCAGGTTAGTACTGAGAAGATTCTGAAAGATGGGAGAGGCCAGCCCACACAGCCCCAGGACCACCTGTTATTGCCGCCGGCACCCAGGGGGTTTATAATGTGTGTGGAGGAGGGGGGGCAGGGTGCTCCTTCTTGACAAACACTTGTAGGATCAGCACGAACAGGGCCTTCCTTGGATTCTCCAAAGTTCGCCTAAGACAAAGATGAGGCGACCATCCCAAAACTTCAGGCAATGTAAATGGGATAAAGAATGAAGTCCATCGGTATCTCCTTGTTGAAACTTTGTCCCCTTACGCTCACAGACCCCAGCCCGTGGCACAGGCAGGTCTCGACCTCATTCATCTCCCTCTTCCCAGCTACCTCTAACATCAACCACCTTCTCTCCTACTGAACCTACACGTACCTTCCAATGTTCAGCACCATAAGAGTACACACAGGTGGATGTCCAGGCCTCCTGGAGGTGCCAGTTTCCAACTATTAAGAAAGAAGGATATGGGTGTTCTGAATTCATTTTTAAAAAGTCTAAAGTTTTGCTACCATTTGTCATCTTACAACGCTATTACAATAGCACTGATTGTATTCCCGTGTCTTACTGTATGGTGACACATGGTAGCTTCATTTGTGGTAAGCAGAGCATAAAATAGAAACTGTTAAATCACTATGTCGTACACCAGAAACTAATGTAACACTGTGTGTCAGCTATACTCAGATTAAAACAAAAAGTCCAAAGTCTTGGCTATTTTGAAAGAAATATTATGCCAGTAGTTTCAAGTATGTAAATTCAAACCAGGCATAAATATAACCCAGTTGTTTATTTGTATAAGCGCAACACTGTTTATCATAAAGTATGAATTATTCTATATACTTGAAATCTCTTGTCATCACTTTTCTCTCAAATTACTGAATGTCTACGTTATCATAATTCAGACCAGCCTTCCATGGGGAATTTCCAAATTAGTGCTTCTTATTCTTATATTTACCAACACTACTTTCATCGACTTTCAGAAAGGATACAGAGAAATGAACAAGCAAATGTTGATGTTAATTAGTCACAGTTCATTAATATAAAAGATCTGCAGTTAAGATGCCACTTACTTGACCAGAAATAGGTGCTTCTACAGAATTTAAGTGTATATGAAAAGAACTGAGGCTCCAAAATAACTATCAACTTATACTATGAAGAATTTCAACTCATTTCATTTGAATCGTCACAGATTCTGAATTAGTAGGCGTGAATTAGTAACGCTGAACAGCGTTACCAGTTTTGAAGAACTGCGAAGAATTGAGAACCCAAGCACCTCTGAAATACAATAAAAAGGGAAAAGTGTCTCTGACTTAGAATTTTATAATGTAAACAACTTCAAAAGGGGTAAGTAGTATGTAATCACTGAAAAAGGATATTGCTTCTTTTTAACATAAAATATATTCTGCCAAAATGTATTAAACCTTCATCTCTGACTTAAAAGAAATCAAAATGTTATTAGGTCAGCTGAAGTTAAAAGTAGTCTTAACGGTGGCTATGAGAATACTGGAGAAAGAAGTAGAACTCTTTCCTCCTATGACCAACCAACCCCCAGCTCCCCGTTTCCATGGATCTGGTCTGGCAAAAAATTCTTTACACTGCCATGTTTTAGGTGACAAAAGCATACATTTTTAAGGCAAAAGTTTCCCTTCAACCTACAGAAGAAGGCAGGAAGGAAACATTGAGAACCAGCAGTTCTTCATCCTTTTTGCATCAGGTTCCCCTTTGAAAACTCTTAAATGCTACGCACCCTCTCCCCACAAAATGTATACATGTGCACAGACACACAAAATGTTGCATACAACCTCAGAGGATTCACAGACCTCTCCTGCATTCCACTTGGGTTGACAGAAGTTCTCCTAGGAGAATCTAAGCCAAGAAGAACTTCAAACCCTCTATATGTCCAAAAGATCATTTTCCTTCCTTCTTACTACCTTTACTATAATCGCCTCTATTTTCACGAACTATGACAGTGTTAGAAAGGAGAGTGACTTTATTTTAGACCAGAGGTCCATAAATTTTTTGTGTAAAAGACCAGAAAGTATGTATTTTAAGCTTTGCAGGTCATTTAGTTTCTGTGGCAACTACTCAACTCTGCTGTGCTTAACACCAACGCAGGACCAATAAAATTTTATTTACAAAAAACAGGCAGTGGATCAGAGTTAGCCCATGGGTCACAGTTTGCTGATCCCTAGAATAGAGGAACAGGTTCAACAACTCCATAAGGAAGCAAATAGATAAATACAATTAGGTTCCTAACTTATAGCATCCCTAAAAAATAATTTCCAGAAGGATTAAAGATCTAAATAAGAACAGAACCTGAAAGCTAGGCAGTCTGTGTCACTGGAGGAAGGAAAAGATTTCTTAAGAAAATAAATCAAATTATTTGGCGTTAAAATAAACCTCTACACATTCGAAGACCACAAATCAAGTTAAAGGAAAAGCCAGAGACTAAAAAATATTTGCAACACAAATGACCAAACAAGGATTAGCCTTTGAAAACCTAAGAAGAAATAGCAAGAGACAGAAAAGCCAAAGAAAGGGGCCACATATACACATATAGGCAAGTCAAGCAAACCAAAGAGTTCAAACAAATGAAAAGATGCTCAACTTATCTAATACTCCAGAAATGCAAAGTAAAAGCACTAAAAGATACCATTTCACACTCATCTGGAGAAAACTAAAAATTCTAAGAAAAACAAGTGCTGGCAAGGATATGGAACACTAAGGATTACACAAGCAGTATGTTCACAAGTTTATAGTGAATTTAAAATCCCTCAATAGAAAAAAAAAAACAACAAATTCGAAGAGGCAAAACTGCATGTCAAAATCATTTCCGATTCTCTTCAGAATAACCTCAGATACTGTGACTGGGGAATCAAGTTCGGTGGTCCTACGGACACAGATATGAATTTAGCTATTTGAAAGAATTAGCTTGCTGTGATAAATTAAATGATTGCTATTACCAATAAAGCATCACAGAGTGCTTGTGGATGTGCAAATTTCACTCTTGGTAATATAGGAGAGAAACTCTTGCACCTGTGACACTGCACTGTAGCACTGTTTATCAAGGGAAAAAACTACAGGGAATACTTGGAAACCTAAAAACGTGGACAATGCGAGAACAAAAAAATCCACTGTGCTCTACTGATCCAATGAAATATTATACAAGAGGTAACATGAGTAAATCAAATCTAAAAATGCATCACCCTGGATATACTTAAAAAGTAGAATATATAGTAGGGTTTTTCCCCTACTTTTCCCCCACTCTACTTTTTTTTCCAGCAAACAGCAAAAAAAATATGTATAGCATGACACATAAATGGTAAAAATTTTTAATGCACCACAGGTATAGATAAACGTTTGTTGTAAAAGCACAAAACCACGGGGAAAAAGCACAATATGAACCCCGAGAGAGCAGTTACCTTTGAAGAAGAGAAAGAAATGAGAGAGAATGGGAGGAATCAGTCTTTAGATGTCTCTATAATATTTTACTGCTTTTAATCATCTTTAAAAAAACTACACTTTTTAAGAAAAAAGATTGGAAAAGTGAAATTTTCTCTTATTGCCAGATAAAGATGAAAGTCTCCCTTAGCACTTAATTATAAGATTCTCCATATGCACTCATTCTCTTTCACCATGGACACCAACAGAGGCTAAAGCCCTCTGTCCCCGAGGACCATTCCGAAGGGCTTCTGACAGGTGCTAGCCACAATGCCAAGAGTCCCAGGAAGGCTCGCCCAGACTGCAATGTTTTCATGCAATGATCTGGACATTTTCTAAGTGCACAAATTTCAGCTCCGAACACCACTGAAAGCTAGGCAATCTACAACTGGTTGGCAAAGATTCATGTCAGCCTACCGGGTGAGAAACTAACAACACATGGGCTCTACACCCAACTAAGCATATATTCACTTTAAGATGCAACCAGAAATCCAGACCAAAAATCATTTTATCAAGAGCACAGAAATAACAGAGTACAGTACTAATTATTCCATAAAGACAAATATTACCATTACACTAAGGATTATGCAATGAGTACACTTGTAAGTTAAGAGTAAGTTTAAAATTCCTTTAAAAAAAAACCCAAAGGGGTGAAATTATATACCAAAATCATTTCAATTCTCTTTAGATTAGCCTGATACTGTGACTGAGTGAGTTATGTATTATAGCCTCATGTCCAGATGTATGAATTTAGCTATGTGATAGAAGAATTTGCTTGCTATGACACATTCAGTGATTGTTCGTATCAATAAAAACAGTTCAAAAAGCATCATCATTTTAAACACCAAATAGATTAGACTATTACAATCCTTTGGTCCAGTGTTAGCCTTTAACTGTTTCAAAATTAATCAAAGTCGAAAATTTGGACAGATTTGTGTCACTAAATGGCCTTCACTATTGTTCACAGAATAAAACCCTTAATTGATTAATGATCTCAGGGTGTCTATCGCCATCTAGTGAACAATCACTTCAATTACCACACCAGTCACTTGACAACTGAGTCCCTTGTCTCGGTGGTTTTAAAATCTAAGTCCACTTAGTGCTATCAACTTGCCCAGTATCTTTTCTTATGTCTCCCTATACATAGAGAACAAACACAAATACAGGTGATATTTATACCGATTCACTTTCGAGTGTCTATAAAGTTTCCATATACTTCTCTGTAAACACTGACTTCATTATTTTTAAATAACTTGCACGCTATGAGGTCCCTCAAACAATTCTTTAACCATTAACTAATTCCTCTACTACCGAGCAATTAAAAATCATAGAAGAGTTTAAAGTGTGAAAGATCACACCTGGGAAAAGACAATATTGATGTCCATTTGACACAACTATTAGCATTTTTATTACAAATCTGTTTATGAAAATACAATTAGTAATTATCCTGAGTACTCTAGCAGCCATAATACATTTGATTACAGAAATTATTAGGTCACCAGAGCCAAACCTGCATGATTCCAACAAAACTGAGCATACACAAAACAGACTTAAAAACAAGAAAGGAAGGGGGCTTACAGCCTCCCCAGACTGTGTATTAATCCATATTCAAATGTAAAATTTTATAATCTTTTCAGATGACATGCTACCAGGTTTCCACATTCATTTCCACTTGAACCTTAATCTAATTTATCCTACAAGGACTTGAAAAGCAAACAACTTCGAGGATCTTTAGGTTACTGTATTATTTCATCCATTCCATCTTCTTATAAAAAAGACAAGTGTGAGGGGCACCTGCGTGGCTCAGTCGGTTAAGCGGCTGCCTTCGGCTCAGGTCATGATCCCAGGGTCCTGGGATCGAGCCCCATATCGGGCTCCCTGCTCAGCGGGAAGCCTGCATCTCCCTCTCCCGCTCCCCCTGCTTGTGTTCCTGCTCTCGCTCTCTCTCTCTCTGTCAAATAAATAAATAAAATCTTAAAAAAAAAAGAACAAGTGTGATAAGTTACAAAGGTATTCCAAATCTCAGCCCAACTGGCTCTCATTTTACACTTCACCCCTCCTACCTCTTTAATAATCAAGAAACGTTTGAAATCACAAAGGCCTAATAGTATATATGGAAAATGCTAGTAAACCCAAAGACCGATTACCACAGAGACTATTTCTATCCACCAGTGCTAATAATTATCACTGATACTTTAACAATCAGTTTTATTTTAGGAAATAATTTCTGTAGGTGGCTTTGAATCTTCTTCTAGAATAAGATTTCCAGGGAGCAACTGTGTAATTATTATTTCTCATTAACCTCACATTACTTTCAAGGCCAACTTTCTGCAGTTGTTATATTTTTTTATTTGTGAGAAGGAGCAAAGGGGAATGAGACATGAGGGAAAGGAGAAACCAAGAATTTAAATCACATATGATTATTTCTAGATTTGTTTGAAACTCTGTTTTTTAGTGGAGAGAGCAGAGGGTTTTTTTTAATAGTTTATTAAGATTTGTTACTGCTATATTTTATACAAAAGAAAAATTAAAATTGAGTTTAAAGACCCTATTAAAGATCAAGCTAAACAAAAATATTGCCCTTAAAATACAATGGATTAGAGGAGTGGGGGAGATCGTTGGACAAATTTGGGGCTTATCATTATCAACAGTGCCCTTTTAAGCTTGTGGATTTCTGAGCCAATGCAGAAAATGTAACAACAGGGATTTCCCAACAGCAAGAGGCACTCTCCAAGGGAGTAAATTGTCAACTATTGCCTCTCGTGAGAAACTTAAGAGTAACCTTGATCCAATCTCAATAGTCAACCCATGTATTATCACCCAGTTGGGGCATAGTGAGTGCATTTCCTAATATAAAAATAAGATGGTATTCTATCAGAAGCCACTGGATACATACACAGAAATAAAATTTAAATAATTTTAAAGTAAACTTAGCCTAAGAAACTGAAAACATCCTTCCCTCACTTCAACCAGCCCCTAAAATACCTGTATCTTCCCACGTAAAAAGGGCTTGTGTCTTGAGATGAGCATCGAAAAAGACGTCCTTCAAGGACTAAGAGGTAGAATATAAAGCAGAAAACTAGACCAGCACTCTGGTGGTGACATGAAAGACATGGTGAGATGGGACAGACAACCCTATTATGGGAGAAGCCTTACAATCAGGAAAATATGGATTCCAATTCAAAACAGTCACTTGTTATAGTTCACCTCTTTGAGTCTTAGCTTCCACATCTGCAAAATGGGAATGTTATGAACCGTATCAATGAATCCTTATGGGGTTTTAATGACGTAATTCATCTGGAAGCTTCTCATATATTGCTGGTGTTTAATACATGTTTTGCCCTTCCTCACTGTGCCCTAAGCCAAGTCTGTGAGATAGGGCTGTCAAAGGAAGAGTGGCTCTGTACCTCCTGTTTGTTTCATGCCAGCCAGATCACCACTGACCAATACAGGAGCCACTAGCCACATGTGGATAATAATAGTTTAATTTATTTTAATTATAATTAAATAAAACTCAAAATCCAGTTCCTCCGCAAGTCAACACTAGCCAGATAGCAAATGCTCACTAGCCACCTGGGCCTACTGTATTATATAGAGAACATTTTCACCACCTCAAGGTCCACCAGAGTGCTGGTCTAGACTCTAAAGGAGGGGTCAGGAAACATGTTTTCTGAAAAGGGCCAAATGGCTAATATTTTAGGCTTTGCAGGCCATGCAAGTCTCAACCCTAACTACCCAATTCTGCTATTGTAATGCTAAAGCAGCCACTGACAAAACATAAACAAATAAGTATGGGGGTGTTCCAATAAAACTTTATCTACAAAAATAGATGGCTGTCTGGATTTGGCCCATGGGCCATAGTTTTGCCAACCCCTACGTGATAGGATTCTGAGTTCACACCCTCAAAATGAGTATTCTGCCCATAACCATGAATTATCTCCTTAAGACTGAGTAGTCTCAAATCTACTGACAGCAATCAATACTTTACTGGAGTGAAATGGAATTTAGTATTTAACATAACTATTCTTTTACAAATTAAGAAAAACCCACGCATGTGGGGCTAAAGCAGGTAAAGCTTACAGTGTTTCCAAAGTGACAGTATCTCAAATCTGATTGGTATCCGGCTCATCTTTCTAAAGCCAATAACTCTCAATCCATAACTCCACTCCTCATCTATTCCTGGAATTGTGGACTTCTACATCCAACTGCCTACTTAATATGCCTAGAGATCTATTACAAATCTCAAAGCCAAAAGAGAACTCCTAATCCCTCTCTCCCAGATTTCTCCATTTTACTATATGGCTCCATAAGCTAACCAGCTGTAGGACTAAAATGGAGGCATGCTCCTTGATTTCTTCCTTTCCCTCACACTCCAACCTAATAAAATCAGCAACCAAAATATCTCCCTTATGTCACTTTGCTCTCATTCCTGTTACCTCCTAAAGAACTCTTCCCTGACCAATCTAAACTAGCCATCTTAACATTAAACTAGCCCACCACCCTGTTTTAATTATCTGAATAACATTTACTTCTATCATATTCTCTTAATTTTTATATTTGTTTATTCACTTATTTACAGTCTATTTTCCCAAACTACCTTCTCCCCATCCCAAGTCCCCACCACATGCCACTCTACACCCCCTGCTCTACATAGAATGTGACCCTCATGATGCAGGGGCATCTTATGTCTTGCTCAACACTCTACCCCCATAACAATGCCTGGTACAGAGTAGATGCTCAATACTCTCTCAATGGAGGAATGAATAAACCCTTACTTAAAAAAAAACTATCTGTCTCGAATTTGTCCTAAGAAGGGGGCATTTGAAGCTATATAACTAGGTAACAAACTTGACTCTCCCACGTTATAACATGTCAGAGTTAAAAAAAAAAAAATCTCATTTTTAGAGATGTTATACTATTTACCTCCCTTCCTTTGTATGTCACCAAAGCAGCCAGTGGTTTGGCGTAAAATCTGCTGTAGGAAAATCCCAGGCAGCCATACATACTGTTTGCTGTGAGCTTCAAAGCCTTCTGTCGAATGTCATACTGCAGGCCACACAAAGACAAAAGACAACAATATTTTAGATGTTTAATCATTAAATTAGATGTCTTTTTATATCACCAATAAGGAGAAACCCTCAATATCCCTGAAAAAAAAAAAGAACTGTCAATACACTCAATCCATCCTCCCAGATCCATGATTCCCTGACCTTCTAGAAGCAAGTAAACACAGACTCCAAAGCTCCCAGAAGTCAGAAAGATTTTGTTCAGATACAGCTTTGCAGACAGAGGTGTCTTCCATTCTCAGTCATTCTTCTGTTTTTGAATGGTTTGCTGTCCACAAACTTAAAATAAGCCCATATAATTGCCCATAGCATCATGTTTAAATCCTCCTAGATAATCAAAGTCTGAAAGCTAAGACTGTCACTCAGATGTCTCTTATTGAAAAGATATACCTGAAGAACAAGGTCTGGATTTAAATCCTGCTGTTTCATTAGCTGTTTGACTTGTTTTCTTCTCTCTACCAGCTTCCGGATCTCTCTGGGCAAAATGCCCATTTCTAAGTTTGGGTCTGGCAGCTCAGGGATCTGTTCTTGTTCTCCATCCTGATGAACACACAACAGAAATTTCAGACAAATCAAACTTTCGTAAAACAAATTTCTAAAATAATACTTTGTGGAACTTTACGTTATGATTAAATCTTGAAAAGGTACTTTCCTGCTTAAGTATGGGTCAACAACACATGAGTGGGAGAAGAAAAAGCTGAGAACACTGTCAACACTGGCCTCTTCTCCCACTTCGATCAGCCTCATTCCCAGTATCTCCACCCCTCTCGTTACTGATTAATGTAGATATCATTTAAAGGGATCAATTTTTATATATACTCCTCTCTTCAACAAGATTGGGGAGCAACATGTTTAGAGAAATTGTTTTTAAAATAAAAACACTGAAGGGCGCCTGGGCGGCTCAGTTGTTGAGCGTCTGCCTTCGGCTCGGGTCATGATCCCAAGGTCCTGGGACGGAGCCCCACGTCGGGCTCCCTGCTCCGCGGGAAGCCTGCTTCTCCCTCTCCCACTCCCCCTGCTTGTGTTCCCTCTCTTGCTGTCTCTCTGTCAAATAAATAAATAAAATCTTTAAAAACAAAACAAAACACAGACCTCTACGATACCCCAACTACGGTTTTAGTCAAATGTACTCTCAAACAAAATGCCATAAAACTTTTACAACTATGGAAAATTATGGCAATTATTGTAAATGTTTTAGACTAAAAACTAAAACCCGAAATACTAAATCAGCAAATATCTTTTAGGAATTTGGATCTCATATTTAAAAAGTCTACGAAATTTCCAAAAATTAATATATATACCAATTCCTTAGCATCTATGTAGTACCTTTTATCTGTAAATTGCCTTGCAATTGGTAAAAGAATAGCAACATTTTAGAAAAGTAACCAGTAGTCTTCTTATATTAAAATTTACAGAAGGAAAAAGCAGGGAAAGCATTAGACCATTTTTCTGAAGTCTCCATTAATTCTATTAACAGGCCACAAAGAAAAACCAGGCATGTTTGCCCCTTCAAAGGTTCAGAATTAAAAATAAACCTCTTGCCTTCAAGCATGTCAACTCAATGCCATTTGATAACCCAGCCTTTACAAAGTATCTGATTTTATAAAGATCAATCAAATGAACAATCTTACAATAGTAACAGGAACCTATTGTTTTCCAATATAGCAGATGATGATAGCAAACCTATTAAAGAGATCTTGGTACACATTCCAATTTATTTATAACAACTAGAGAGATCAGACAAAAAGTTAACTGAAAGGATCTGGAGTCAGGAAATTTACAATCCATGCCCAGCTCTCCCACCACTAGCTATGTGGCACTAGCTACTTTGAAGACCAAATGAGGTACTACACAGAAAAATGATACACAACCTATAAACTGGCTACATGTATAGTATTTCTTAGATGACCTTTAAGGTCCCTTCCAACTCTTAAATGATTCTATTACATACCCAGAATCCAAACTGGAAAGCTCAAATAAACAAAACAGTGGAGGGGGATGGAGGAGGCTGGATCATGACAATTATCACAAGGCTGACACAGTAGCAGGACAGTAGCAGGACAGAGCCCAATGAATACCATTTATTCAATGTAGTCACAACCTTTTGGGGATGTCTACCCAATACCTTCTCTTTTAAATTATCCTCTAGTCCTGCAGAAAGGCCCATCCTTAGCAGCTGTGTTTGTACTCTGTAAACCCACTCCTGTGGTCACAGTTGATGGGACCAGGTATGGTCACCGGCCTAAGCAAGCCTTTAAGATTCTCTCTTCTAGGAAGACAGAACTAGGGCTGGAGCTCCCAAAGCATGTAGTGAGAATTAAAAGACATGTAAAATCAGGAGCAAGAGGGCAAACAGACATTTTCTGCCACATGTACAAAGAACCAGAGAAAAATATAGAGATAACATATACTTCACATCTTTTACTGATGGACAACCACATCTAATCAAACTCCCTATCAGCAGTCAATTATATAAGCTTTATACATGAAGAACCACACATTAAGTTAAGTCCTACATAAAACTGTTGACTAATCACTGGTTAGATTAAATCCATGTGAAATAATTCAAAAAGATTCTTTTTAAAAAAGTCTGTTTAGTGAGTACAATCAGTAACAAAGGTTTGCGTGGCCAAAATTTAGAAGAATTTAAAATATAGAATTTAAAAGAATAAAAATAGAAAGTGTTGGAGATGATGTGGAATGACTCAAATTCATGGCTAGTTGGGAGTGTGTAACATGGTATAACTACTTAGGAAAATAATTTGGCAGTTTCTTTTCAGGTTAAATATACACTTCCCATACAAACTAGCAAATTCACTCCCAAGGTATTTATCCCCCAAAATGAAAGCCCATGTCCACAAAAAGATATGAACAAGAATGTTTACAGCTTTATTAATAAAAGTTAAACTCAATGGGACACTTGGGTGGCTCAGTCAGCTAAGGGTCTGACACTTGATTTCAGCTCAGGTCATGATCTTTCATGGGTCGTGGAAATCAAGCCCCATGTCGGGCTCTGAGCTCAGCAGGAAGTCTGCTTGAAGATTCTCTCCCTCTACTCTTCCCCCGACTCGCTCGCTCTAAAATAAATAAATAAATCTTTAAAAAAATATTAACTAAACACTGAAAATCCAAATGCTCATCTCAGGAAATGAGATAAAGTGTGGAATACTTCTCAGCAATACAAAGGAAAGAACTACTGATAATGCAACGACATTTATGAATCTCAAAAACATTGTGTTGAACCAAAAAGCCAGACAAAAGAGTACATACTGTATTGCTCCACTTATATGAAGTTCTAGAATAAGCAAAAGTAAGCGATGGTGATAGAAGTCAGATCAATGGTTGATTGATGGGAGAGGGACCTGATAATAAAGGTCTGAGTGACATACCAAAACTAACAGGATGAAACTAACACAATACTTGCAGGGAAATATATAGCTATAAATATCTATATTAACAAGAGATCTCAAATCAATAACCTAACTTTCCACCTTAAGAAAGTAGAAAGTTAAGGATCAACTGTAACAAAGAAAGCAGAAAGAAAGAAGTAATAAAGATAAGAATGTTTTGTCAGTGCAGCTAAAAGTTTGTCAGTTTTGCTGATCTTTGCAAAGAAGGAACTTTGGTTTTGTTGATTTTTCTCTATCTCCTATATTTCCATTCTTATCTATAGGAGATAGAGATAAATCAACAAAACCAAAGTTCCTTCTTTGCAAAGATCAGCAAAACTGACAAACTTTTAGCTGCACTGACAAAAAAATGACTCAAATTACTAAAATCAAGAATAAAAGAGGGATATTACTAATGACCTTAAAGAAACAGTTATAAGGGAATACTATGAACAATTTTATGCCAATAAATTAATCTTACATGAAATGGAAAAATTCCTAGAAAGACACAAACTACCAAAATGGACTCAAGAAGAAATAAAAAAAATCTGAATAGACCTATAACAAAGACTGAAATGGAAATCAAAAAAAGACAAGCTTTAAGACCAGGTAATTTCACTAGTGAATTCTACCAAATATTTAAAGCAGAATTAACATGAATCCTTCACAAATTTTCCAAAAAAAACAGAAGAGGAGGGAACATTTCCCAACTCATTCTATGAGGCCAATATTATCCTAATACCAAAACCAGGCAAAGACATAACAAGAAAACCATATACCAAAAGCCCTTATGAATACAAGCAAAAAACTCTTCAACAAAATACTAGCAAACTGAAACCAGATACATACAAAAAGGATTATACATCAAGAACAAGTGGAACTTATCCCAGGAACGCAGGTTGGTTCAACACACGAAAATCAATATAATTTACCATATTAAAAGAATAAAGGATTAAAAAGTACATGATCATCTCAATATATACAGAAAAAGTGGTTGACAGAATCCAACACCCTTTCATGATAAAAAACATGCAACAAACTGGGAAGAGAAGGGAACGTCCTCAATCTGATAAACACCATCTATGAAAAACCCCCAGTTAACATCATACTCAATGGTGAAATAAAGACTGGATGCTTTCCCCCTAAGACCAGGAACAAGTCAAGAGTGTCTTTTCTTGCCAATTCTATTCAGCACTGTACTGAAGGTTCCAGGCACGGCAGTTAGAGTACCCCCCCCCCACCGCAAAAAAAGAAAAAATACAAGGCATCCAGATTATAAAGGAAGAATTAAAACTACCTCTATTTTCAGATAACAGGATACTATACGTAGAAAATGCTAAGGAATCCACAAAAATACTAGAAGTGACAAATGACTTCAGCAAGGTTGCAGCATATAAGATCGATATACAAAAATCAGTTATGTTTCAATACACTAGCAATGAATAATCCAAAAATAAAAGTTCCACTTAAAATAGCATCAAAAAGAATGAAATATTTAGGAATAAGTTTAATAAAAGACTTGTACAGTGAATTATTTAGCAACAAGTAGGAATGAAGTACTAATACATGCTACAACACAGACGAATCTTGAAAACAGTATGCTAAACAGGTACAGCTACTCTGGAAAACAGTATGGAGGTTCCTCAAAAAGTTAAAAATAGAACTACCCTATTACCCAGCAATTGCACTTACTAAGTACTTACCCAAAGGATACACAAATACTCATTCAAAGGGGCACATACACACTGACGTTTATAGCAGCATTACCAACAACAGCCAAACTATGGAAAGAGCCCAAATGCCCATTGACTGATGGATGGATAAAGAGGATGTGGTATATATACGCAACAGAATATTATTCAACCATCAAAAGAATGACATCTTGCCATTTGCAACATGGATAGAGCTAGAGTGTATTATGTTAAGTGAAATTAGTCAGAGAAAGACAAATACCATATGATTTCACTCATATGTAGAATTTAAGAAACAAAACAGATGAACATGGGGGGAAAAGAGGGGCAAACCAGAAAACAGACTCTTAACTATAGAGAACAAACTGAGGGTTGCTGGAGGGGAGGTGGGCGGTGGCTGGGCTAAACGGGTGATGGGTATGAACTTGTGCTGAGCACTGGGTGTTATATGTAAGTGATGAATCACTAAATTCTATTCCTGAAACCAACATTACACCATATGTTAACCAGAACTTAAATAAAAATTTGAAAGAAAAAAAAAGCCAAAACAATATGCTAAGTGAAATAAGCCAGACACAAAAGGTCACGTATGATTCCATTTACAAGAAATGCCCAAAATATACACATCTATAAAGGCAGAAAAATTAGTGGTTGCTGAGGTCTGGGAGGAATGGAGGGACAGAGGGAGGGTACAGCTAAAAGGTAGGGTTTCTTTGAAGAGTAATGAAAATGCCCTCAAATTGACTGTGGTGAAGGTTGAAAATTCAGTGACTGCACTAAAAGCCATTAAATTGTATACCTTAAATGCATAAAATGTATGTGAATTACATCTCAATAAAATCGTTAAATAAAAACATATAGAACCACTGTGAGTTTCCATCTACTCAACCCTCTCCCTTTTTTGATCACTTTTGACCCTTTAGACCACTAAGAAAGGACAAATTATACCATTAAAAGGAAAAACAAGAATGCTAACCCCTCTGGTTCTCTTCCTTCTTTAAGCACTGCTTCTAATTTCAATTTAAAGAGCCCCCAGTTGAATACAAACCTCTGTAATTTTCTGTGTCTCTGAAGCAACTCTTTGCACTGTTGTAAAACAAATGTTGAATTCCTGAATGATGGAAGGATACAAACTATTGAAGTCCAGGAGCAAAATAAACTTATCATAAAAACCTGCAACAAAAAAGCCATATTACAAAAAGTCTTTTAAAAAAAAAGCAGATGGGAGAAGGGTAAAAAAAAAAAAAAGGGAGGGGTTAAAAAAAAGGAGATTTGTCAAAACATAACATTAGAAGTACTGTAGAACGAAGTATATGAGAAAGGATACACTATCCAAAGCGACGAGTTATACCAAAGAAAAAAAAGTCCACTATCACTCCATAAAAATGCCTTGTATTTGAGTAAAAACTCAAGTCACAAAAGAAGAAGAAAGAAGAGAATGTGTCTTATGCTGAAACCAACTACAAAGAACGATCCTTTCCACAGCAGGCCCCAAGTACACCATTATGATGGGCATACACCTTCTCCTATCAATTACTTCAGATAGGTGTCATATCCATTTCAAAAAAAATGTTGTAAAATTCTCCTTCAGGCAGGTGTTCCCTCCCACCTACCCTGCCACCTCGACCCCCAAAATGTTCAGTGATCCACACCAGTGAGTAGTTATATATTTTTTTTACCATCATACTTTCTAAGAATAAAATGGGAAGCCCACTCACCTGTACACAAACGGTATTAAAATCAGACAAGAGATGTATATATATAAATGTCAGTAGTGGAACGATCCACCCTTTTTACTTGCAAAGGGTGAACAGAAAGCTACTATATTTCTCTAGGACATTTATAAAGAGTTATCTTCACCTTAAGAAGAAACTGAATAAAAATAAATGTCCACTATTAAGAAAATAAAAACAAATATTGACAGCACACTCTGTGTCAAGCACTATACTAAACACTTTGTTCCTTAAGTCCCTGTGTGGTAGATCCTCTTTTTTTAAAATTCTAGTGTAGTTAACATACAGTGCTATATTAATTTCAAGAGTAGATATTTATTCCTATCTCCATTTTACAGAAGAGGAAAGTGAAGCTTACAAAGGTTCAAGAGGAAGGCAGAATTTAAGCCCAGATCTATCTAACACCAAAGGACTACTGATCTGTTTCAATACAACTAATAATAAATCATTTTGTCAAAAATGTCTCCTATTCAGAGCTCAAGTTACTTGATAAAATTCACATTATTCCTGTACAACAATGTAAATATACTAAACACTACTTAATTGTACCCTTAAAAATAGGGAAGAGGGTTAAAAAAAAAAGATCCTTCTAGCTCTGTGTACCATAAAACATCTTCTTTGCCATTAACGACAAGGGGGAGTACTCTGCTGTTAAAGTTCAATTTGGTGGTTACCGTCTGTACTTTCTTGAACTTTGCCATGCAAATGAACTAGTCCTGGCAGCTCAGGCAGAGGCAGAGCCCACCCTCTACAATAGATGGGAGGAGAGAGAGGTGCTCCTACCACCAGACAAATAGCTATGTACTGGACTAGGTGTTGGCAAACTATGCGCAGAACGAATTCAGCCTACCCCCTCTTTTTGTACCATGCACGAGCCAAGAATAGTGTTTACATCTTTAAATGGTTGAAAAAAAATTTTAGGGCGCCTGGGTGGCTCAGTTGGTTAAGCGACTGCCTTCGGCTCAGGTCATGATCCTGGAGTCCCAGGATTGAGTCCGGCATCGGGCTCCCTGCTCAGCAGTGAGTCTGCTTCTCCCTCTGACCCTCCCCTCTCTCATGCTCTATCTCATTCTCTCTCTCAAATAAATAAATAAAATCTTTAAAAAAAAAAAAGAAAAAAATTTTAAAAACAGAGTATCTCATGATACATGAAAATTATACAAAATTTAAATTTCAATATCCATAAACAAAGCTTTCTTGGAACACAGCAAAAAAATCAAAAAGATTCGTATTAATTCATGTCAGGTGACTGGCCAACAAGATTTTCACATGAACAGAAGAGAAAAATAAGGTCATAACAAGACCTATTTGCTAACCTACAAAATACAATTCAGATCTTGCAGTTTCCCAAGCCTAGGTCTGCATTAAAAAATTCCTTAACACCAGGGGCAAATCCACCTGCTGCGCAGCCTTACCAGCTTTAGGGTCCAATACCAAGCCTCCAGCATAAGCTGCTTTCTTACGTCCTTTCTTGTATTTATTGGCCTCTCCATCTATGTCTTCATCTTCATCTCCCTAATATTAAATGGAAAGGTTAACTTCACCAGCCAGCAATCGATTAACTAAAGAAGTTTTATGATCCCCCTTTTCCAACTGCAGTACACAATTCTAACAAACATTCTTTAGTTTTAGCTAGTGGTCCTACCTATGGGGAACGACAGTTACTGTAATATGTTCACAAACCCAAATGAATGCCAAGCATGGGAGTTACCAAAACACTATATCCCTGAGTTAATATGCAAATTCTACTTTAAAATATTTCTGAATTCACAGAATTTTATTCTTTTAAATCAATGGATACTAAAAATACAATGCTTCATATTATGTAAAATCTAAGACAGTAAAAAAGCCCTCTTAAATTCATTACTCTAACAATCATGATGTAGAAATATTAAATATATTAGATATGATCATTATTCCCATTATCATGGACACCTTAAAATAAGTGTGTCCATGTACTGAAAATTCACCCCCAAGTAGTTTATTAATAACCAATATTCAATACCTAAGAAGTCAATTTTGATAATGTACATAAAACAAATACAAGAATTTGAACCATTTTAACATTAAATTCCCCCCTTTGAGTCAACTGCTATCAGTGATGACAAAAATGGTAGCTAAGTTTTAGTTCCAGTGTCATGGAGGCCACTTCAAAAAACTGATTGTGGTGACCTGATCCTACTAGCATATAAAAATGCAACAAACAAAAAATAAAGGCTCATGCATTTAAGGAAGTAAAAGGTTTAACTGGTATCTAACTTTGGATACTGCTAAGATGGCAAAACACTTTCCTAGTATGGTCACCCATCAGAAAGACTTAATACCGCCCTTCAAGAAATTCCTATTTCACAAATAATTTTTACCTACACAGAAAAAAGTGAAGAAGGAAATCACCACACAAACACAACAGAATGAATCTGACATGGTTTCTACAGTATACAGGAGATTAATTATTTTGGAAGCAGAAGTTATCACAGCAGAAAGAGCTATCTAGGTAATAAAAGGGGGGGAGGTTAAAAAAAAAAGGCAAAACACTATGCAGTTTTGAACCCACCAGTTTTTGCTGAGGCTTTCTGAAAATCTGCTTGTCAGGCACAATATAGTTGTTTTCATAAAACGCATGAAGCAACAAGAACTCATTACGCTCGGATCGTCCACCCATCAGCGTCCTGGACTATTAAATAGAATTTCTTTTTTAAATTTGAGCTCAAAACTGTAACAAAAGCAACTTTAAGGTGGTAAATTTAATCATAGCACCTCCTCCATAATCATTCTTCCTAATAAGGGCTGCTTTAAAAATAAGAAGGCACAAAATTCATTCTAACATTTTCTTTCAGCATTATACTTAAAAAGAGACAAAGCAAGCTTAAAATACTGACACTACTTGGGCTATTTCTTTACTCCCAAATAGACCATGCCACACATCAGACACATCCAGATGTTAGAGATGATCCTTGTGTTCACCCAAAATTTCAACATACTGCACCTGGCTTTCCTCCCCTTCTCGCAGCCAGTTCATTTCACAAAAGAAGACCAGCTTCCAGAATACAAGTTACTCATTTTATAAGCATGCATTTAGACTCATTATCATATAACAACTACCCCAAGCAAACACTGAATCCAACAGGAAATGCTTTTTCCCCCTTTCTAAGTTAAATTTACCATAATGTTCCCAGCGATGTTAGTGATCTGCAATGCTAATGGAAGAACATTTAGCTCACACATGATCTGCAAAATGAACCTGGCATCTTTCCAGGTGTGTTCCAACAGGTACAACAGATGAGAAGATTCACTGTACAGAAAAGTAAGAATGAAACAGAATCAAGTAATTAAAAGAAACAATGACTATAATCAGAACTTCATAAAATATTACAAAAAAATTTTGGTATGAGTAACTTCAGAGCAATGGCACCTTGGCTTTGGAAACAATTTCAAATAAGGCTGGTATGAAACCATGAATTCATTCATGTCATTGATCCCAATGCCCTTCTCCAAAACACGCACACACAAAAATCCCATAAATACAAAGTAAAATTATGCATTAACTATGACCTGAAAACTACCTAAATCCTTTTATTCGTTCCATCTAATAAGTATGTGTTACATGCCGGGCATGTGCCAGGCATAGTTCTAGATTCTGGCTGTAACCAAAAGACAAAGTACCTGTCCTCATGGGGCTTATGTCCTCATGGGGGAGACAGAGTATAAATTAAAATACATATATATGGTAGGTTATATAATGTTCAGTGTTAAAGAAAAAAATTAAGAAGCAAAGGAAATATTAAGTATCAGGAGCAGAGACTGAAATTTTAGTTAGGGAACTAGGGAAAAGTTCACGGAGAATAAAGAACCGAGGGGCGCCTGGGTGGCTCATTCGACTAAGCATCCGCCTTTGGCTCAGGTCATGATCTCACAGTCCTGGGATCGAGCCCCGCGTTGAACCCCGCATCGAACCCCGTATCGGGCTCCTTGCTCAGCGGGGAGTCTGCTTCCCCCTCTCCTTCTGCCTGCCGCTCCCTCTGCTTGTGCTCTGTGTGTCTGTCTCTTTTTCTCTCTCTCAAATAACTACATAAAATCTTAAAAAAAAAAAAAAAGAACTGGAAGAGGTGAGGAGGCAATCCTTGTGAATGGATATCTGAGGGAAGAGCATCCAGGCAAACAGAACAGCACATTCAAAGGCTCTGAGCTGAGCACAAATCTGGCACTTCCAGGACCAGAAAGGAGACTGTGGCTGGAACAGAGAGAATGATGGAGAGTGCAGAAGGACAGAGTTAAAGGCAGAGATACACACTGTCTAGGACCTTGTGAGTCAGAGTAAGAACTCTGGTTTTTACTCTAAATGAAACAGTCACTGGAAGATTTTGACCAGAGTGCAGTATCTGACTTAACTTTAGCAAGATAACCCTGGTTCCTGGGTTGAAAACAGACAGCAAGGAGTCAAGGGCAAAAGCAGAAAGACCAACAAAGAGGCTGACATATGACTCATTAATCCAGGGGAAAGAGCAGGGTAGTGTGGACCAGGATGGGTTCAATGGAGGAGAAAAGAAGCAGTCAGATCTAGGCATATTTTGAAGATAAAGCTGACAGGATTCTGTGATGGCTCAAACATGAGATATCTATCAGAAAGAGGAATCATGGAAGCCTCAAAGGTTTTGGGCCAAACATAACTTCGGAGATTTCTAGGAGTACTGGAAAAATAAGAGCGTCACTCTTAAGGAGAAACTATAAGAGGAGCCTAGGGGAAAAGATCAGGAGCTGAGCTTCTGAAGAAGTTAGGCTGGAGGTTCATATTAGACATCAAGTAAAACAGGCAGGTGGATACAGGAGTCTGGAATTCAAAGGAGAGATCTAAGCTAAAGATACCCAAGCAGGAGGCATCAGCACCACATCGTACTGAAATTCCTGAGACTTGATGAGATCACCTAGAAAGAGCATAGTAGAAAGAGAAGCAGTCCAAGGACTTGGGAAGAATGGGCAGAAAAGAATAAGTGGCAAGAGGAGTAGAAGAAACTCTGTTTAGGAAATAATCAAGCATAAAGGTTCAGTTGTACAAAATAAGTTCTGGAGGTCTTAATATATAGCAATGTGACTACAGTTAACAATACTGTACCATATACTTGAAATTTGCTGAGAGGGTAAATCTAAAGTACTGTAACGACAAAAAGAAATAGTAACCATGTGAGGTGATGGATATGTTAATCAGCTTATGTTGATTATTTTACAATGTATACATTTATCAAACATCAGTTTGTATACCTTAAATATATACAATTTCTATTTGTCAATTTTACTCCAGGAAAGATGGATAAAAGAAATAATCAAGTAATATCTTCTACATAGTGATTTCTCAGTTTTTCTATTTCCAAAAGATTTACACTATCTCCTGAAGGAAACCTCACTATCACATCAATTTCCAAACTGCTCTTAGGAAACATCTAGATGAGGTCAGGGTGAGTAAGGGCGATGGAGATACATTGATAAAATAATTCAAGAGGAAAAATAATTTAAGTTATTAAAGTAACAGAGATGCTGGTGCTGACATGAAGGCAGTTCCACCCCAGAAACCCACACACTCCTGGTCCCTCCAGCCTGAAGGCGATGCTGGCCTCCTGCTGTTGCTCATTTCAAGACAGACAAACTCCAAAGCACCCAGAATCATACCTGTACATATTTCGTACATTTTCCATTGGGATTACAACCCTTTCAGTTCTCAGGATTTGTTGAACAAGTTCAGACAAATGGTAGCTTTTACAACGAATCAATTCCTTTGCTGAAATTTCCACATCACAGATCATTCGGCCACAGGTAGCATTTCTTTCACCAAATCCACTCCTGCCCTACAGGGGGAGGACAAAAAGCAAATCCCATGGACGAGCAGACACTGGGAACCTTCTGTTCTAACTCACTTTGAAGCTAGCCCAGAGTTACAATGAGGAAACTCAATCTCCCATTCACCACTCAGTCAGCCATCAGTCAAATATTTCTGAATGTATGGGGCACCTGAGTGGCTCCGTCGGTTAAGCGTCTGCCTTCGGCTCAGGTCATGATCGCCGGGTCCTGAGATCGAGACCTGCATCAGGCTCTCTGCTCAGACAGAGAGCCTGCTTCTCCCTCTTCCTCTGCTACTCCCCCTACTTTCCCCCCTCCTTTCTCTCGCTGTCAACTAAATAAATAAAATCTTTAAAAAAATATTTCTGAATGTTCACTATGTAGCTGACACTGCTCTAGCACTAGGGATATAGCAGTGAGCAAAACAGAAGATTCCTGATCTCATCTGAAATATACAACAAAAAATGGACATCAAAAGCAAGAAACTATATAGTTTCAGGAGATAATAAACATACGGAAAAGAGAAAAAGTAGAACAGGTGAGGAAAACGGGAATTTAGGGGGGCTGCACCTTAAATCGGGTAGTCATGGTAGGCCTCACTCAGAAGATGCCATATAAAGAAAACCCATGAAGGGGTAAGGAGTTAGTAAATCAAGCGCTGGGATGAAGGTTAATAACAGCTCTATCACCTTAAAGGGAAGAACAAGAAAAGAAGCAAGAGCACTGGCTCCAACTCCAATCTGCAACAGCAGAATCTACTGAAAGTATCATAAAAGGTACAGATTCCTAAGTTTTCTGATGAGGCAACATGCCCATTTTAGTTGTAAGCTTTAACTAAAATAAGATTTCAAGCAATGAGCACTCTCATGCTTAGGAAATGAAGGTGGCTTCATACAAAAACCACCAAAACCTCCCTAAGTGAAAACAAGCAAGTAGAATGAAAAATACACAGGCTTTAAAAGAGTCAAGACAGGCCAGGTTCAAAACCTCAGTTCTTCCCCAGACTAGCCCTACAACCTTGAACAAGTTCTGTGACCCCTGTGAGAAACATAGCAAAACTAGAGTTGCTGTGACAGGCAACTACTGCGCAGGCACTTAGCCTGTGGCTGCCTTACACATTCAACGTCAGCTCCCTCCCACTCTTCCTTCCCCTCTGAGTCCTGAATGATAACACTTACTGATCTCTGAGCCCCGCAACTCTGCTCTAAGGGCTACAGCATCGGTAACACCGAAGTGGAAGTAACATGTACGTGCCATCTCTAGATTCTAACAGCTGATTTTAAATAACTACCAGAGGCTTCAACCAACAAAATGTTGCATTCAAAGGAAAAGATGTTTAGTGCCAAAGTTAAAATGTCCTATTACAAGACAACCAATTCTTAGTCAAAGAAGCACAGCATGTTCCCACGTAGCTACTCTCCATATAAAGAAGCCAAGTCAAGAAGTAAGATTTTGAAAATTATTTTTACCCCAAGCTTTGGCATGTTGGATCGCTTCAGTCGACCTATCTTGGACCAGTGAGGAACTTTGCACACGTTAATTCTCTGCAGGAGCACTTCCAGTTCAAATCCATAAATATTATGACCCTAGTCAGAAAAAGAAGGCAGCCAATAACATTATAACAAACGCAAATTAGAGGATTTATCTTCATATACACAGAATTTCTTTGCCCTTTCTTTTTCTGGTCTCTAATTGAAGGCATCATGAGCTTACCTCCGATTGGGGTCCTTTCTTCTTCGGGAATGTATTCATCAGCAGCATTCATTAGCCTTGACATTAACAAAAGTGCTAAGCAGATTGCTGGAATAAACTTTATTTCATCCTAATTGATGCAAGGTTCATATGATGTCTTTTAATTTTCAGCTCATGCCTCACAGTCTCGGAGGCAAATGCAAATTTTTATGTCCCATACTTTTTCACGATCAGTAAAAGCTGTGTTCAAGTAATTCCATTTTAATTCCTTAAAAACTGAGAATCTGCCTGTGTTCTGCAACAGTTTACACAGACTTCTTAGAAAACTCGGGAACTGCATCTACTTTCTTCTTAAAGAACTGAGTTCAAACACTACTGATTTAGACTCTTAATGTGGGGGCGGAGCAAGATAGCGGAGGGGTAGGAGACCTGGATTTGCTCTGGTCTCAGGAATTCAGCTGAATAGGGATCAAACCATTCTGAACACCTACGAACTCAACAGGAGACCGAAGAAGAGAGTAGCAACAACTCTCTGAAGAGAGAAGCGACCACTTACTGGAAGGTAGGACGTGCGGAGAAGTGAATCCGAGGCGATATTCGGGAGGATAGACGGCGGGAAAGGGGGCCTCCGCCGGGCGCTTCTGGCAAGTGATAGAGCCGCGGAGCACAAAATCGGAACTTTTAGAAGCGGGCTCCGCTGAGGGACGTCGCTCCAGTGGCTAAGCGGGAGGTGGAACCCTCGCGGGACAGTGTGGTCTCAGGACCCTCGGGGTCACAGAAAGACCGGGGGTGCCTGAGTGCAGCAGAGCTCCCAGGTATCGGAGCGGGGAAGCCGGCTGCAGAGACGGAGCCGAGGCGCAGGCACTCACCTAGGGGTTGCCATAAACTGTGATCCGCGGCACAGTCGGGCCACTGCTCCTCCAGCAGGGACCCAACAAGCGGCAGATCCGGGGAGACTCCCCTCCCTCCCCCGGGAGGAGCGGTGCGGGAGTGCACCACAGGGATCTGCTGGGTTTGGAGACCCCACACGGGGTCGAGTGCCAGAGATAGAAACGCTCAGTCACAGGCCGGGTGAGCACGGAGTGCGGCCAGAGACTGGGGAGATGGGAGTGACTGCTTTTCTCTGGGGGCGCACTGAGGAACGGGGCCCCGAGTTCTCAGCTCCTCCGAGTGGACATTGGGAGGCCACCATTTTCACCCTGGTCCTCCAAAGCTGTACCGAGAGCTTGCAGGGAACAA